ACTATTCCGAAAAGTCAAAAAAACAATCTTCAAACAAAATCACTCCCCATGGAGCTGGCGCATGAGCAAGAGCAGTAAGCCGCCACCACCTTCTTTGCCAAAAGGATCAACCACCACAACAAAAGGGGCATCCGGAAAACTGAGATCCATATACGCTGGCGCATGAGTTAGAGTAGAGTTCCGTATACATGCTCTTAAATCTAGATTTCAAATTGATTGGTCTGTTGTTGGTAGTGATAATACGAGGAAATTATATAGGATGCCTTCATATCCATTACCTTATTTTGTTTTTCTATCAAGAGTTTTTTACTATGTTGGTGTAAATGTGGATGGATAATCGTTTACCATCATGGGTCATGCAGATGTAATAGGAAAATCTACTTTTCACCACCTAGGGATGGGTAAGAGAGGTGATGGTTGGTTCTTCAAAGATGAGGAAGAATTCATTGCTGAAGGAGTAGAGCTCATAAATGCAGACATTCCTGTCTCCTCTGCTAGAAGTAATTTCACTGCCTTCGAATAGAGTATGTTAGAGAAATTAGATAACATACATCTTTGACAAAAGGAGAAGGATGAGTATTACTACTCCAGATTTGACAATTTGGATGATCAAGTGTCCTCTATTCTTTCCACATTACAACAAGAACAAGGTGACACTGAAATGGAAGATGATGATGAAGATATCGAAATAGTTAAGCTATCTTCAAATGATGATGAATGATTAATATGCTTTCTTTAATCACATTTTTAATTTGCATGAACAATTTCTTTGTTGGATTGTAATATTTGACATATTAATGTGTTAGTTTGTAACTCTACTACATGATATAACTTTTTAATCCTTTATTATCTGACATCATTTTTACATTCAATTTGGATATACTATTACTTTTCTACTCTATGTTTAACCTTTTTTTATTAAGTCCAAAGGGGGGAAGAGTTCATTGCAGGGTTGCTGAAAAATGCTTTGCAAGGCTACTGAAAAATTATATGTCGGTTGGCTATCATAAAAAAAGGGGGAGATTATTAATGAAGAAGGAAGATTGATTAAAAAATCACTTTTTGATGATGTCCTTATAAGATAGCTAGGTAGTTGTGTGAATAGTTGTGTAAAGCCAAATGATCTAATCTTTGTTAAAATAAAGAAGGTAAAAAGTTAAAAATAATCAATTATATTAAAACTAAATCTGTATTAATCGATTAGATAAGTACTTAATCAATTATATGAGTTAAATTCATGTTTTCATAATACAAGTTAATAATCAATTATGTGGTCACTTAATTGATTATGTAACTAAATCTCTGTTTGACATAATGCGTTAATAATCGATTATGTTGGTACCTAATCAATTATATGACTTATTTTCAATCTGTCACTGCATGCAAATAATCGATTAGATATTTTGTTAATCGATTATCTGAATCAATTGCAACAGATTTTTACTCTATAAAAGAATGTAAATTTTCTTCTATAAAACACATCTCTTTTAGAAACAATTAAAGTATTAAAAGAGCTTTGTAGGCATCAAGAAAACATTTGTGGTTCTGTAAAACATTTTGAAGAAAATCAAACTCAAAGAAGAGATTATTGGCAATAGGATGAATTGTACCAAAAGTCTAAGGTAAAATCGTTCTTGTCTTTCTTTTTGTGAGTCTTGATTGTATTTTGATGTATATGAGGTGAACTACGTCAAATTAACTTGAAAATTGTGAGGATAAACATTTTCAAGTGTTGTGATTTATTTTTAAATCTTGATTAAAAGTTATTGTAATCAAGATTTGCAAATTAAGTTGTAATCTGGTTACTGAACAAGTTTTAATGAAAAATTAAATTTAAGGTTGCTTGGTTAAACTGGATGTAGATTCAAAATAATCGAACCCGTATAAACTCTTGCTTTATTTTCTTTATCTTAATCACTATAAGAAAAATGCATATTTCCGACGGATTTTTACCGACGGATTTGTAGCCGTCGGAAAATGAGTCATTACCGACGGATATAAAGCATTTGTGGAATTTGGTCTTACCGACGGATATATCCGTCGGTAAATTAATAAGTAGTTACCGACGGGGTAAATCCATCGGTAAATTAACAATTAATTACCGACGGATATATTTGTTGCTAAATTAACAATTATTTACCGATCGGATATATCCGTCAATAAAATTATATAATAATTACTTAATTTTAAATATATTCTAATAAATTAATTATTCACCTAATTAAAAAATTAAATATTTTTTTATTTAATAATTTAATTTAATCATAATTAGATTAATTTATAATAATTTATTAAATTAAATAATTTTAAAAAATAAATATTTAATTATATATAAATATATAAATATATTGTATTTATATATTTATATGGATATACATTTATTTGTATATAAATATAATTTATTTGTACATTATTATCAAAAAAATTTAGTAACTTAGTGGTTGGAGTATTAGCCTCCAACTCTAAGATAAATATTATTTTGATCTTTACTTGACGGATTTTGATCTTGTAGTAAAGAATACAATAAATAATAAAAATATTTTTGACAAATTTTAACCGTCGATATTTCCAGTGTTTCTTGTGGTAGATATTACTTTGATCTTTACTGATCTAATTCTTTTAAATGTAATTATTAGAAAAAGATTTTAAATAATTGATTATATTTGAAAAAGATTTAAAAACCCAATTCACATTTTTTTGGGTGTATTTAGACAGTCACATTTTTTAACAAAGTAAATTTTAAAAACAAAATAATTTTATTTAAACTCACTTTCATGATTATTTCCAATCATATTCCACCGTTAATAATTGGGCTTTAGTCAATTATTAATGCGTTCTTATGAGATATTTGATCATCATCCCTAAATACTAATTTTTAATTACATTAATATTATTCTAATAACTATTTAAATTAGTGTCATTTACATAAATTTTGTTTTAATTTTATTTTTATTTAAAATTTTCCTAATTTAATTAAAAAAGTAACTAATAATTTAAAGGCTACTTATAACTTTTTTTTCTCATTATATTTTTAAGATCAATTCTAAATGAATTAGAGCTCTACACCGGACAATAGTTTATACATAAAAATTGATATTATTATAACAAACATGAATACTCGCATTCCTAAACGAGATTATAATCATAGGTTGATCAAATTTTAATTTCATAATTACTGTAATTTAATTTAAAAAGATTTTCATATTTAAAAATAGTGTTAGAGATATAAATTAGTCTCATTTTTCGAATTTTTTAATCTCGTATTTTTTAAATTAATTGCAAAAAAGTTAATAATAATTTTATAAAGACTTAAACTTTGTTTTAGTCATTATACTTTGTCAAAAAAGTTAATAAATTAGCCTCATATTTAAGATCGAAGTAATCATTAGATTCGTCAAAACTTAATTACATAATCAATTTAATTTGCTTTAATAATTTTTCTATATTTAAAGATAGTGTAAGGTATTTAAACAGAAAGAAGAAAAAAGAAAGAAAAAAAAGAAGATAAAAGAGATAAAGATGAATTAGAAATAAATTTAAGAAGTACAAATATTTTCTTATAAATTAAAATTAGTTTATTTACAAGTTTAAAGTCAGTTAAAAATTTTAGTATTATAAACCAACTTATGAATAGAGTAATTTTAATTTATAAACAATATTTTCTTTTATTTCAATTTTATGTAAGAATGATGAAGGAGAAGTATCATATACTGATTCAAATTTAAAAACATAACATCAATTACGTCTTAACTTTAATATATTTAATTATATATATTTATTAGGGTTGATAAATTGACATAGTATAATATATTTGATTTAAAAATTTTTCTTATTATGTATCACTTAAACAAGACACGCTTGTAATTATCATATTTTTTTTATTATTATCTATTAGCAACGTAAATATTCCATACTTTATATATATATATATATATATATATATATATATATATATATATATATATATATATATATATATATATATATATATATATATAATTCTTGTTTTGACCATTGATTAAGTTAACTATATTAGGACAGTTGAGGTATCCATGAATAGGTCAAAATAGCAGCAGGATTCAGCGGATTGAAGCAAAATAGAATATTTCCTGAGATGAAAAGAGAGTGAGAGTTTAACAATATTTTATGACCCTTATAGTAATTTTTAGGTCTCATGTGATAGCCATCTTATTTATTAAGAGAGAAAATAAATAAATAATAAATAAGTAAAATAGAAACAATTTTTTTATAATAATTTTTGTTTGATGAGAATAATAATTTTAAAGGATTAATCTAAAATATTGTCTTTTTCTTCAAAATCTATTACATAATATAATAATATATACATACATAAATTATTAGACCAACAATATAATCGAGTATATAATAACTTTTATTTTTGAAATATTTTTATTAAAAATATATAATTAAAAAATAAATAAAACTATTATAAATAAATATTTTTATTTATTTATTTCCATTCATCTCTACTTATTTTTATTTTTATTTTTTGTCTTTTATTATAATAAATATAATGGTAATTACTACAATATCAATGATAATTATAATAACATTAATATATTATTATTATCATTATTATTTGTGTGAACAATTATATTTTGAATTATAGAAGTAATGAAAAAAAAATTATCATATAAGAACTCACATAAAACACAAATTATATTTTTTTCTTAGATATACTTGGTTAAAACTTGAATAAAGAGATGTAATAATTTTATCTATGGTTGGAGTAGGTCACAATGTTCCTTCTGAGAATTTTTATAATCTAAAAGAAATTTGTAAATACAAAATACCCAAATAAAAACATTTTAGAAAGCTAAGTTAATTAACAATGATGATTAAAAGATAGTTTAGAACATGACTCTAAAAGCAACATGTTATGCACTAGCATCTTCCTTCAACTTGGTCCATGCAGTACAAAATGCTCTATATAACTGTCATCTGATGATGCAGGGAACATAAACAAACACATTTTTAAAATGGCCAACACTGTTTTTACCCTATTTTCACTAGTCCTTATTTGCATAACAGCAACTCAAGGGAGGAAAACACTTCACCTTAACCATGAATTGCTCACATCCAATCCAGTTTTTGGTGATGATGTTCATGGTATCTGCAAAACTATGGTAGAGACACTAGGTTACACATGTGAAGAACACAAGGTACATATGTTATTATTCTGCTGAATCTACTTGCTTATGATCGTGACATCATTTTAGAGAATTGTTGTTTTTGTTGGAGGCAGGTTACAACAAAGGATGGCTACATCCTGAGCCTGCAGAGGATGCCGACAGGGCGGTCGGGCCAGAAAGCCGACAAGCCGCCGGTGCTATTGCAACATGGCATCTTTAGTGTAAGTTGTATATTAATACAGAGATATACAGATATTATTAGCAAATGTTTTCTATGTTTTTATAAAGAAAAAACTCACTGAAATAGTGTAGAACAATTAATAGTCCCTGAAAATAAGAAAACTAAAAAAAATCTTAAAAGTCTAATCTGTCAATCATTTTAGTCTAAAATTTTAAATTGTCCCGTAACTTCAATATTAATATTAACAATTTAACATATTATTTAAAGAATCAAATTACAATAAATAGTTAAGTTTAAAGATTTCTCTGACAGGGCATGTTTTTTTATCTTTAGGGTCAGATGTTTCGAAAATCGGATTAAATAGATCGGTTTAATCGTTTTAGTAAACTATTAGTCTAAAAATCGGTTTCTCATTTTTAAATAATGAGATTTTAATTAAATTAAAATAAAACTAAAAAAATGATTTGACTTTTTTGATTTAATTGATTCTGGTAATTTATTTTTATAAAAGATATAATATTTTTTTCTTTTTTATTTTATATTAATTACATAAATTTTAAATAATAGTTATTTTGTTTATATTTTCATCTTATTTTAATTATTATCTATTTTATATTTTCTAATATATTTTATATTTATAATTTTTATTGTAATATATAATAATCATGATATTAATTTTTTTTTAAATATTATTATTTATAAATTTAGTATATACTTATTATATTATAAAAATATTATTTTATTAAGTTAATATTTAAATCCTAAATACATTTCTTCACCTGTTCAACGAAGTGGCGGTTTTAAAAACAAGATTGAGTTTTATACATTTTAGGATATTTTACTTTTTTTTTTTTTTAATGTAGCGGCAAAAGTGATTATTGAATAGTAACATGAAAGCCTAAAGAGTAATCTTATAAAATTGAGTAAATAACTTTGGTGGGTTGTGTTTACAGGATGCTTCAACATGGCTGGTAAATTCTCCAGATGAATCACTGGGATTTATCTTAGCAGATAATGGGTATGATGTGTGGTTTGCCAATGTTCGTGGGACAAAATACAGCAACGGGCACACATCACTTAATCCTAATGACCAGGTTCTTGTTCTTATGAGAATAATAGATAGGATATACATGCATTTCAGTTCTCAGACTCCTATAACGGATATAAATTGTTTTTATTCATTATTATGTGTAGGGTTATTGGGATTGGTCATGGGATGAATTGGCTGGTTATGATCTTCCTGCTTTTGTCCAATATGTGTACAACTATACAGGCCAGAAAATGCACTATGCAGGTCATTCGTTGGTGAGTTCTTCGTCTCATTCTTTGTTTTCAGATTTTTTTTTTATATCATGTTAAATATAATTTTAGTTCCTATCTCGGTTCATGAATTCACGTTGATTAGGAAGTCAAGATTAATAATAGTTTATATATACCTTTTTTTTTTAATTCATCAAAGTGATTTTTAAGAAAAAAAACGTGATAGAATAGAATTCTAAAATGGACAATAACTCGAACATTAAAATTGATCCTAAAAATATTACCATGACAGACATGAGACACTCTCATTTCTAGACGGAACATTGATGGTCACTGTGAGATTGAAAACAGAGTTTTGTTCCACTCTTATCTTTTAATCCTCGACTAAAGGGCTATGTTTTGGTACGATTATGAATCTCATATCACTTATCAAACAAGGTCAAAGATAATTTATATATATGATTCTCTCTCAATTTAGCAAGACACCTTTTAAAATTAAAATCATAGTGAACTAGAACTCTCTGTAACGGATAATACCTTAGAAATAAAAATTGAATCTAATGATACTATTATAATATACATAAGGTTGAGATGCTTCCGTTCCTAAAATAGAACCGTTCCCAGACAGAACCGTTCCCATGATATTTTATAATTTTTAAATTTGAGTTTTAGTTTTTACACTTGTTAAGTTTGGTTTTGAGTGTCTATAATTTCAAGGCCAATAGGAATTGGTTCTTAGTTCGGGGACCATGGCCAAAATGTTCATAGTATGGCTAATACCAAAGATGTAGTGATTTTCTATAGGACTCAAAGTTAAACTTTTCAATAAATCCAAAAACTTGAAAACCATGGAGATTAAAATTGTCACATTTCTAGTTTGTATAGTTTTAACAATGACCTGAAATTTCAGGGAACCTTGATGGCTTTAGCTGCTTTCTCTCAAGGACAAGTGTTGAACATGTTGAGATCTGCTGCACTGCTTTGCCCAATTGCTCATATGAATCAGATTACATCACTGCTGACAAAATTTGCAGCTGACACATTTATAGCTAATGTGAGAGATAGAAGAAGATGAATTAGCTTGGAATTATAATATCTTTTGAAAAGAATTTGACATAATGAAAATATTTTCCCTTTTCTTAATATAACAGGACTTGTACTGGTTACGAATCCATGAATTCAATCCAAACGGGTATCAATAAAAAAGACCTTAATCTTTCAAACATTCTATCTCTTTCTGCAAAGTGTTTTAGTAGTAAGAAAACAACGTTTTTCCTTATGAGCAGGGGGGGGTGCTGCATCAAATTTTGTAGAAGACATCTGCAATAAGTTAAACCTGAACTGCTCAAGCCCAATGACACTTGTCACAGGTGCTATAAATGTTACTAGCATGACCATGAATTAAAATTTTTCATATTATGTACATATATTATAATTATAATATTGGTTCTTGAAAATAATGAAAATTTTTTGGTATTGCTTACACTCAAACTCTAGGTCCAAACTGCTGCCTAAATTCATCGATAACTGATGTCTCTTCTGAGCCAACAGCAACTAAGAACTTGATCCATCTATCTCAGAGTAAGTCTACTATTAAGCAACATTTTTTTAGCTGTGGGAGACTAAATTGACATTTTCTTTTAAAAAAATTATTTTATATATGTATTCTTATTAGATTTTTTTTTAACAAATTCTCATAAGAACTTACAAGAAAAGAAAATAAGAAGAAAAACTAAATTAAAAACAAACTTTAAAAAAAAAAACTAAGATGAGAAGATATCTATAAATTACTTTATTCATAAACTAATTTTAATTTATATAATGTTTTCTCTTCTAATTTTCTTTTATGTAAACGTTTATGAAAAAAAATTATCAACCCTCACAGTACTTAGTTTCCACATGATTTCTTGTTGATATTTTGTTCCTACGGATTTGGAGCAGTGATCAGAACAGGAAAAATAGCAAAATATGATTACGGTGATGAAGGAGAAAACATGCAACACTATGGACAACCAGATCCTCCTCTGTATGACATGACAACAATTCCAAAAGAATTCCCTCTTTTTCTCACCTATGGAGGGCAAGACATGCTATCAGATGTAAAAGATGTACAACATTTGCTCAATGACCTCCAAGATCATAATGCGAACAAGCTTGTCGTACTTTTCAAGGAAGACTATGCTCATCTTGATTTTGTTAGGGCTGTCAACGCTAACCAAATGATTTACGATCCTATTATGTCATTCTACCGGGTTAACTGATTTCTTATAACTCGGTTAATGGCACTTCAAGTCATGTGAAAGTTTTATATATATATATATATATATATATATATATATATATACATAGTTGAAGACATTATTGAACTTATTCAATTTCATATAGGAAGACACTATTAAAGTTAATTATTATTTATGAAGATGAATTATTAATTTATATCAATGTTATGATACAAAAATATTATTGATTTTTATTTTCGAGTATATCAACGATAATGTATATTTGTATTGTCATTTAAAACAAGTAAATATATTTTCGAAACATTTCTCACATACATTAGATATAAGGATCTATCTCTAAACATTTAAATATTGCTTCTCATAGATGATGTTCATTGTTGTGTTTTTTGTGTTAGAAATGAAAATACATCTACGTAAATCTTATAAAATTGACTTGTTAGATGAGGTTTTGTTGAATTATTGGTAAGCATACCAAAATTATCAATCGCAGTATAGTATTTCAATTAAATAAAAGTCGATCCCACGAGGAACGGTTTCAATGGAAATTCCCAATTATGCTTACTAAGTGGATTAAAACAGAATGGGTTTTGCATAAAAAGTTGAATTGAAATTAAATGACAAAGAATTGTAAATTGTAGAGAAAATATCAATTAAAGGTACTTAGAATTGACTTCCTTCCTTATCCCTCTTTTGTAATGGCTAAATCAATTAAGAACGTCAATTAACCTAACAATGTTGATGTCACCTACTCAAATCATCCATGTTGATTCCTCACACATGAAATTCATAAGAAAACCTAATAAATGTTGATTCCTCACACAATTAAGAGATTTCCCAGCATTAGGTTTAGGGTGTTAAGCAATTGATACATTCATTCCATTCCTGGAAATTAACGTAACAAATATTCTTACCGTGATCTAGGATTCAAGATATATTTTCCAATCATACCTCAAACAATCAAGAATAAATCATTCCAAAGCATAAAGGATAAGAATAACAACATCAAAGTATAGATTAATATCTCAAAATATCACCATGATACAAAAGAGTTCAAAGGAAGTGCACCGAATCCTAAGAGAATGAAGTTAGTCACCCATGTTGTCCATTACAATGCTCTAATTGATGAAAAAGTGAAGAATTGATGGATATTAGACAAAACCCTAACAGTAGTCGTGTCTCCTCTTCTCCAAGACTGCTTCCCCTTCTCAAAACACATCTTCTCTTTAAATTGGAAAATTTTGGGCTTTTGGGTTTCGTGTCTTTCGCTCGAGCGAGAACTTTCGCTCAAGCGATAGTAGCCTGTTTGCGCTCAAACGACAAAACGCTCGCTTGAGAGAATAAACTCCAGAGAAGAATAACTAACATTCGTTCAAGCGAATTTTCCTGCGCTTGAGCGACTGACTTCTAGAGAAGAATAACTAATATTCGCTTGAGCGAGTCTCGGCTCGCTTAAGCGAGTGTTCTTCCTTTTTCCAGTTTTACTCTATTGCTAATTCCAATCCAGAGAAAAATAGATTGGAATTAGCAATAGTCAAGTGGTTTCATAACAATTCAAGGTATAATTATATCAACTTTTCAACGTTGGTTCAACAACCGACGTTGTATCAGGCGACGTTGAAAGTCGTAACTTTCAATGTCGGTTCAACAACCGACGTTGTATCAGGCGACGTTGAAAGTATAATTTTTCAAATCAATAATTTTTATTTATTTACAACCCCTTTACCCCTTTTTATTTATCTAAAAGTCCACCCTCTCTTTATAATATATTTTATTAGGTCCCCCATCTATTTATATTATATTTTTTAGAAGTTTATTAATTTTTTAACTTTCAACGTCGGTTCTACGTTGAAAGTATAATTTTTCAAATCAATAATTTTTATTTATTTACAACCCCTTTACCCCTTTTTATTTATCTAAAAGTCCCCCCTCTGTTTATATTATATTTTTATTAGGTCCCCCATCTATTTATATTATATTTTTTAGAAGTTTATTAATTTTATAAAAAAATTGTCATTGGCGGGATTGAAACCCGAGTACCTTAGAATTGGAGGCTGATACTCCAATCACTAAACTACTAGAATTTTACTGTTAATAACTTACAAATAAATTATATTTATATACAAATAAATATATATCCGTGAAAATATATAAATATATAAATACAAATATATTTATATATTTTGATATATTTATATAGTTATATATTTATATATTTATATGTTGGATGTGAGGGCACGCTCGAAGGTGAAAGTGTGTGTCGAGTGGGTTTTCAAAATTTGATGCTAAATTTGTGAACAAGTATCTTTATATGAGTTTGTAATTTAATGACAAAATATAATTTTTATAATTTTATTTATATAATGATATAAAATAAATTTGGAAAATGCGTCATTCGCTCTCAAACGAAAAATACCAATTTTCGCTCATGCGAGACTTGAGCGAGTGAATTTCAGTGAGCTTTAACATATTTTCACTCAAGCGAGAGTCAATCTCACTTTCACCCTCGATCGAAAAATACCAATATAATTTATTTGTAAGTTATTATCAAAAAATTATAGTAGTTTAGTGGTTGAGATATTAACTTTCAACTCTAAAATATCAGGTTCAAATGTCTGTCAGTGACAATTCTTTAACTTAAGTGAATTTTTGGCTGAAAAAAAATAAAAATACTTTCTAGAAAATATATACAAATAAATATATATTTACATGGATATATATTTATTTTTATATAAATATAATTTATTTGTAAGTTATTATCAAAAAATTATAGTAGTTTAGTGGTTGGAGTATCAATTTTCAATTCTAAAATTTTGGGTTCAAATCTTGTCGGTGACAATTTTCAAATTTAAGTGAATTTTTGGTGAAAAAAATAAAAAGAAAAGACTTTCAACGTCGGTTCATCCGGGAACCGACGTGGAAAGTGTCAATAAGTGAAAAAAAAAATAAAAACAAAAAGACTTTCAATGAACCGACGTGGAAAGTACTTTCTACGTCGATTGACTAAAAATCGACGTAGAATGTGTTTAATATTCAACTTTCAACGTCGGTTCATCTGGGAACCGACATGGAAAGTACTTTCTACGTCGTCTCGGCTATAACCGACGTTAAATGACGACGTAGAAAACATATTTTGTAATAGTGTTATATATTATAATTTTACTATATTTGTAGTTTATATGAGATTTTAACATATCCTCTCACATCAAGGATAAAAATAAATTTTCAATTTTCAACACTTCCTCTCATTTTGAGAATAAGGGTGACCCAATAATGATCCGATAACAAGTGGTACCTAGCACACACATGTATACTAAACATATTATTAGGTTGACTATCAATCAAATATAACAAGGAACATATTAATCCTCTATATTTAATTTGGTCAATTGGTTTATCTTGTTAGTCAAAGTTGTTATTACATGTTTCAGTTACAAAGTTTCTAGCTTTAGGGGTTGTTAGACTTGCTTTATTATTCAGGAGATAATTGAGTCCATTTATTCCTATTTTGTTGCCATGCAGAACGTGACAGTTTTTTACTTTATGTTATGTAAGGCTTATATAAGTCAACCTTTGCTTCAATGAAGAAAAACACACTTTACATATTTTCATCTATACCTTGAGTTCCAACATTTGGTATTAGAGCACCGCAAGGGGCTTGGTACACTGTGTGAGTAATGAGTGTGAGAGAAAATTATAGTAACGAGTGTGAGAGAAAAATATAGTGGGTGTGTTGTGTGAGTGTAAATGATGTCTACATCAGAAAAGTTTGTTCAACCTGGCATTCCTAGATTTGATGGTCATTATGACTTCTGGTCTATGATGATGGAGAATTTTCTACGAAGCAAGGAGTTGTGGCAACTCGTAGAAGAAGACATACCATCAATTGAAACCACATTCACTGAAGGAGGACACCAGAAGAGTGTGGAAGACGACAAGTTAAAAGACTTGAAGGTGAAGAATTTCCTGTTTCAAGCCATTGACAGGGAGATTTTAGAAACTATTTTGGATAAGAGCACCTCGAAGGCCATATGGCAGTCCATGCAACAAAAATATCAAGAATTTACTAAAGTTACTAAAGTGAAGAGAGCCCAACTCCAAGCATTGTGACATGAGTTTGAGTTGCTGGCCATGAAAGAAGGAGAGAAGGTTGATAGCTACTTAGGAGGACCCTAAGTGTGGTTAACAAGACGAAATCAAATGGTGAAACCATGCAATAGAGAATGATGGTTAGCAAGATCCTAAGATCGTTAACTTCTAAATTTAATTATGTGGTATGCTCAATAAAAGAATTCAACGAATTGAGCATGTTAAGTATTGACAAACTTCACGGTAGCCTACTTGTTCATGAACAAAGAATGTAAGGATTCTAGACAGACGAACAGGTATTGAAAGTCACTAATGATTACAGATCCAACAGAGGCAGAGGTGGTCGAGGCTGTGGGAGAGGAAAAGGAAGATACCAAGGAAACAAAGCACTCATTGAGTGCTTTAAGTGCCACAAGTTAGGCCACTTTCAGTATGAATGTCCTGAATTAGAGAAGAAGGCTAATTTTGCACTTGAGGAGGCAGAAGAAGAGGTTCTGTTGGTGGCATATGAAGAGTCACCACAACTATACAGGAAGATGCTTGGTTTCTGGACTCCGTTTGTAGTAATCATATGACCGAAAATAAACATTGGTTTGCAGATATAGAAGAAGGATTTATCAAAACGGTCAAACTTGGAAATGACACCACAATGGCTGTTGTCGCAAAAGGAAGCATTCAGGTGCAAATCGGTGGCATCTCTCATGTAATATCAGACGTCTACTTTGTTCCTCTTAAGACCAACCTACTAAGCGTAGGACAACTTCAAGAGAAAGGTTTAGCCATTCTAATTCAAAATGACATGTGTAAGATATTTTGCCCAGATAAAGGATTAATTATGCACACTAACATGAAACAGAATAGGATGTTCTACTTGACAACATCGCTACACCTTACGTGCCTCCAAGCTGAAGATGATTCGGAAAAAGAAACTCAAC